GTAGACCATCGACTCGAAGGAAAACGTAAGCGCAATGCAGTAGATCTTGTGGAACGAACAATTTACGTCGTTGTTCTCGCACTTCGGTTACTTTGATATGGCGCATGTTCGTGGCTAACTGCCGAGCGTACTTCGCGTCGTAGCGGGGTGTTCTGGGGTTTCCAGAAGAGAAGTCCTCAGGTAGTCGAAGAGGTTGTCCATATACCAGTGGGCGCTGGACTTGTGCAAATCAGCTTTAAGAGCTGATCGGGTACCAAGTAGTACCATAGGCAGTGCTTCGGTCCAGCTTAGCCCATTAGCGGCACTAAGTGAGGCCTTCAGCTGTCGGTGGAAACGTTCCACCATGCCGTTGGATTGCGGGTGATAGGCGGTAGTCCGGACGCGTTGGCATCCGAGGATTTGAGAAGCTCGTTGAAGGTCGAGGATTCGAACTGCGGACCGCGGTCGGTAGTCACGGTGGCTGGGCAGCCATGTGAAGCGACCCAGCGCTCAACGAAAGCGCGCGTTACGGTGTCCGCGGATAAGTCGGGTATTGGTACGGCCTCGGGCCAACGGGTGTATCGGTCGATCATGGTCAGAATGTAGACCATTTCTCTGGATGGTGCCAAGGGTCCAACTATGTCGAGATGGACATGGGCGAGGCGAGCTGCGACTTGCGGAAAACGACCAAGCGGAGCTGACACGTGCCGCTGTATCTTGGTCTGCTGACACGTTAGACAACCGCGTGCCCAGCGCTTAAGATCGCGTTGCATTCCGAGCCAAACGTATCTCTCGGATATGAGCTTGATCGTGTCTCGGATGCCTGGATGAGCGATGTTATGAAGTGTGTCGAAAACTAGACGTCGTAAGGTTTCTGGAACGACGGGTCGAGGTCGTCCAGTAGAAGTATCGCACAAGCTTGTGCCGTCAGATGACGGCAGTGGATGCGATGTGATTCGTAGCAAAGAATCTTGTTTGACGTTCTGACAGTCAGTGTCGGTTAGTTTCGCGGTAGCCATGGCAGATAAGTCGATTGCCCGTCCAGCGGTGTGGATTGCGGAGACGCGCGAAAGAGCGTCAGAAACGACGTTATTCTGACCTGAAATGTGTCGGAGGTCAGTAGAAAATTGAGCCACAAAATCCAGCTGACAAACCTCACGTGGTGAGTGTCGAGCTGATTGATTTCGAATGGCGTAAATAAGCGGCTTATGATCGGTGAAGATAACGAACGAATTACCTTCTAAGACGTGCCTGAAATGTCGGACGGTAGAATAAACTGCCAGCAGTTCGCGGCTGAACGACTTCTGCCGGTTGTAAGGGTCGGGAGTAGAAAGCGAGTGGTTTCCAGCATCCTTCAGTGAGTTGCTGCAGGACGGCGCTAATGGCGGTGTCCGATGCATCGATTGCAACGCTGAGTGGAGCTTTGGGGTCGAAATAGTGAAGTATAACGGCTTCAGCCAAGGCCTCTTTGCAGGCCTTGAAGGCTTCGGTTGCAGCGGGCGTCAACTCGACGTTGCCGTTCTTGCGTCCACGAAGTAAGTCGGTCAATGGACTGAGCAAGTCGGCACAACGTGGCAGCAGTCGGCGGTAGTAGTTGATCATCTCACTAAAACGGCGGATGGCGGACAAAGTAGTCGGAACGGGAAAGTCTCGGTCTTCGAGCGGCCGTATGCCATGCTGGTCAATTCGATGACCAAGAAATTTGATACATGGTTGCTGCAAGATGCATTTGTCAGCGTTGACTGTAATGCTATTAGAGGCTAACCTCACGAAAAGCATCTTGAGGTGCTCCGCGTGCTGTTCTTCGGAAAGACTAGCTACTAAGAGGTCGTCTATTTAAAAATAAACAAAGTCGAGACCTCTCGTGACAGCGTCTATGAAGAGTTGAAAAGCCTGAGCTGCCTTGCGAAGACAGAAGGGCATTCGCAAGAATTCGAAAAGTCCGAAAGACGTGATGAAGGCGGTTTTCGGAATGTCATCCTCGGCTACAGGGATCTGGTGGTAAGCGCGAACCAGATCGATCTTCGAGAACACACGGGCGCCACGTAGGCTACGTGTGATGTCCTGAATGTGCGGAATCGGATAGCGGTCGGGGACGGTAGCGTTATTGAGAGCGCGATAGTCGCCACATGGACGCCAGCCTCCTGACTTTTCAGGCACCATATGTAGAGGCGACGCCCATGGGCTCTTAGATGGGCGAATAATGCCTAAGTCTAGCATGTGCTCGAATTCGGAGCGTGCAATGTTGAGCTTGTCGGGGGTCATGCGCCTGTCTTTTGCGAACACAGGCGGACCTTCCGTAACGATGAGGTGTGTCGCGGCGTCGGTTGCGGAAGGCAACGGGATGGCAGGACGGAAGGCCTGCGGAAAACTATCGAGCAGCATTTGCCCGACGGGTAAACTAAGTTGAGTCGCGTACACGGGACTGATTGACGCGGTGTCGGTCAAAGTCCCAATGACTGCGAGATTCGTAAGGCAGTCGACTAGACGGTGTCGCTTAACGTCGACTACTAGGTTGTAATGACGTAAGAAGTCGAGACCAAGGATAGGCGTTTGAACATCCGCAACGAGGAATGTCCATTTGAAAGCACGTCGGAGGCTGAGATTTAGCGTGCGCGAGCGTTGACCATATACGCGGATAATGGTCCCGTTAGCTGCGCGCAATGAGCTAGTCACCTGTTCGGTCGGGTCGTTTGGATCACGCGGGAGAACGCTGACTTCTGCGCCAGTATCGACGAGATAGCTAACTCCGGTTCTACGATCGGTGACGAAGAAAAGGCGACTGCGTTGACCAGCTACGTCCGTCGCCCCTACGTGCTGGTCCGCTCTTTTCCCTGCTGCTGTCGTTTGAAGGAACTGGGCGGGCGACATGATTTAGCTTGCTGGCCGAATCGTTCATGGTACCAGCAGTAACCGTTTCTATTCGGTGATCGCGAAAGAGAGTTCGTACGTGAAGACGAACGGCTCCTAGAGCATTTACAGCGGTTATGTCCGGAGGCCGAAAAGTCTGCGAATTGTCGAGTCAATGTTGCCACCTGGGATTTAAGCGTGGCGATATCGTCGTCCGGTTTCGTCTGGACCTGCGAAACGGGGCCGTACGACTCCCAAATTCGGTCGGCTGCATCGGCCAAATTGGATAAAGGTGCATCCTGACTAGCGCAGAGGATGTGTAGCATCTCGCGCGGAAGTCGTTGCAGCCACATTTCCCGAAGAAAAGAATCATCTATCGAAGTGGGTTTAGATAGGCTCTGCATTTTTCGAAGCAGCTGAGACGGCTTAATATCGTCAAGATCGGTTTCGTTGAGGAGTTTCGTAACTCGTTGTCGATCGGATAAGCCTGTTCTTCTCAGGACAGCTGTCTTGACTGCATCGTAAGTCTTTTGGTCGTCAGGAAGGTCTAGAATGTCACCAATGTCATCGATGGCATTTAGCGGAAGCGCGGAAACGCTAAGGTGGAACTTGGTCTTTTCGGACCTAATAAAACGCAAAGAAAAATGCGAATCTAGCTGACTAAACCAAGACTTAGGATTAGTCTCGCAAAAAGGTGCGATAGGGAGCGTAACTGTGCCGATCTGAACGTCAGAATCTACGCGATCAGTTTCCATGGCGAGCAAAATAGCGAGCAAGCGAGATTAAACAGGAAAATGAAAAGTAAAAATCAGACGGGTTAGCGAAAATATGTGGCCAAATCTGAAAAGAAGGGTTAGCGAAAACTCACGGGATAATGACCAAAATTCGGGGGTCACCAGTAAAGCGACAAGCAGGATCGGTACGATTTAGAACCAATACGCGAATATAAGGCCAACCTCCGATGAGTGGAGAACACCAAGTAACACTAGGAAAAAGGTATTAAGTGGGGCGCAACGCTATCTAGTGCTAAAAATAAGGCACTGGAAAATAGCTACCTAGGGGAATGGTGTGGTCGCGTGCGTGGAGAGCAAAGATGGCCGTGGAGCCGACGAGCTGTAAAAATGCAAACAAGGGAGAACCACAAGGATTGAGACGTAATTTCTATTACGCAACACGTAGGCTCTATAAGAAAGAATCAGTAACAGGAAGAAATGAAAGAAAAGTTAGTCAACTGTTCGCTTCAGTTTATTGTCCTTCTTCAATACTGGCGCAGGAGTGTCTTTCTGAAAGGCAGACAGAAAAGGTGTCGTTAGAGCAACGGTTTAAATTCAACCGCGCGCCAAACTAGTTTCGATCACTCTTTACACCGCACCCCCTTCTATATAGGCAACGTCCCCGTTGCCACACCAATGCCCCCTTGAGCTGGTACTTCAACTTCGGTGGCTACTGATTGCAGGTTACAACCGATCCGCATGCATGGGTGTTGTATGTTCGTGACTGGCTGTTGCACTCCAACGAGTAGGAGGCTTTCGAAGTTGCCGTAAAACGCCTTGTTGTTTCTGTTTATTTTCCCATTTCCTTTCGCTGCCCGTATTTATGTTATCCGTTCACCCCGCGCTTGGTCCTTTGTATGTTGCTATGTCAACGGCTTCTAGCTCACCACGAGATGTTACTCAGCCCTTCTTCCATCTAGCTTCATCTCTTACTAATTGCGTATGAAGAAACTCCAACCGTATGCGAATTACCCGTTCTACATTTAAGCTCTCCGGTCTGTTACGATCCACCCAAGCACTGGATACAGAAACGCTCGTGATCTTCGACTGTACCCATACCAGAAGCGGATCCAAGTGTCTCTGTGGGGAGCCATATGGGGTCTTTTTTGCATATGCTATGCGGTTATGGTTATTTCATCTTTTTTGCTTTGCTGTTCCGTTTCCAGTACTGTTCGGTCATCAAGATAAAAGGTCAGTCATTGTTCTCACCATTTATCTAGCTCAGACTCGAGCCTGAGCTGATGGTGATCGATTGATCTCTCGGTAGCCTTGCCAACGTCATCCAGCTCCATACGATGTATTAGCTAGGCGCATCTTGCATTCATTTAGATCTCTTAATAAGTGATTGTGATAATTCCGTGCAACCTACAACGTATTTGTATTGCATTGCATCCCTTAGGTCTATCACTACCTACTTCCGCATTGGACCCGTGAGGCTTCGGAATCCTTCACCGGATATATATTACGCAGTCTACGGACCTAAACGTCGGTTTTGCTCAGTTTGTGTCCTGATTCTCAATGTTCGGACTTATTTTACGTGCTTGTGCACAGCAATCTATTCGGCTTGTAAGCGGTCTTATGTTTACCAGCGTTTGGCGATAATTTTAGCATTTCAGATCATTCAAAGCCGCGGGTATCCCTTTAACATATCATCTCAGTGCACATCGATCCTTTCATTCAACCGAAAGTGAGCAATTTGTGCTTCTGAGTTTGATCTAAAAAGCCTTACTTGAGGTTATCCAGTTCAAACTCTCAGATATTGGCGAGGGAATCCGAGAAGTTGTCATCAAGGAATGGTACGCTCCAGCTAGTGCAGACATTCCCCCTATTCTGACACAAGTTCCCAACCCAACTTTCTCCGCTTTCTTGGGCGTTTGGAATTCTCTATTATCGGGTGTTGTTTTTTCAATTCCACTTATACACCGTACGAGATTTTCATTGTTCTGCTTAACTATTACACTTAGACGCTTCCCAAACTTCATTGTTGTGTGTACATAGGAGTTCAGCTAGTAATTTACTTTCTCAAAAGCTCCTCTCTAGATACAACACGATTTTGTCTGGTGGACACCCGAAATGACAGTTTTCGGTCACCCAACTAACACTACAAAGTCTGCGCTTGTTTGTCTTGCAATAGTCCCGTTCATCTGCTTCATATATCTCGGTAACTATCGCTAGTTACTCAGTTTTAGTATTCTCCTTTGTTCTCCTGAAAGGCATCAGCAGCATGCCGGTGCTGCGTATCGGCGCTTCGTTGCGGCGCGACCACCACCGTTCGCACGTGGGCTAAAGGTACTGCGCGGGTCACCCTGCGCCTACGCAGGCTCGAACCAGCAAGACAAGCTCGTTACCTTTAGGCTATGAGCCGGCATGTTGTTTATTTTTCAACCAAGCGTATGTGGTTATTTCGTATGAGTATCCCGTAACGATTACGTCGAAGTCTGAGACTACACAGTATACCAGATATTGAACTGGTAGGTGTCAGACGTACAACCGCGGAATTTACCATGAGTGTGTAAAGGGTTACCGAGGTTTCATAGCTACTAATCTTGGTTTTATTGTGGGCGCCAAACTAATACAAATTGAACTGTGTCGACAGGAATGCTGTGTGCTTTGTTACATTTGCTGGTCGCTGCAGCCGGTCCACGTGAACATTTACTATCTTAAAGTGGAGCTTGCTCCTTATAAACTCTTTTCTGCTCCCACATTCTCTATTGAATTGGGACTTGATTATATGTTCCCGTCACTGGTACGTCACCAATACGGCTGTTCTGTCATCACCTTTTTACATAATAGAGGAAAACTAATAGCTTTCTTCCGAGTTCACCATGGTTGGCAGCGTGTGTCTGGTTCACTCTCTCTTTTGGTTTTCACTGGAAATTACTATTAATGTTCCATAATTTTTTCCTCTTGAGTGTGTTTTCTGCTTTACACTTGACTACAATAGTTATAGATCGCGGACGCTATCGCACTGTTAAGAGTGTTTTGCGCTCCAAAAATGTGGGATGCTAATTCAACGCTCCATGGCTACACAGTCTATTTATATACGTGCCGACCGGTCACCGACATTGATCGATCAGTGTACCTGTGTAGACAGCCGTATCACTTCCGACTGTGGCAGTTGTCACTTACTTATCTCGCTACACTCGTGTGACTCTTTAAGACCTGAGTGATCCATGAAAACCGTTGGACCTAATCCTATCAGTTAAGATCTGACGCTCAAGGACTGGGTTTGCGACCGATACTACTATGCAGATCAGAGATATGGCCATTTCGCGCTGACGAAGTTAAGATATTCGTGTTCTTGAACTGCTTGGTGCTCGTTGATGAGCCACTCGGGTGGGTCATACTTATGTTCATCAGCTAAACGTTTGGCAAATGTTATGAAGCACTATACCACTTTTGCACTCGAAATATATCTTTGTTTTTAACACGTTTTCAAACATTCACCCCGTTAGCACAGGCTTCACAATGTCCGATAGATGACATCTAAAATATGATTGAAAGTCAGAATGCGTTTTATTCTTATTCTCATTTTGTCCAAAGGCTTCGTAAGTGTTTGAACATTTGGTCTGATATGGCACAATTGCAGACCTTATGTCAATGTTGCTCACAGAACTGTTCACTTAAATGTACTTGACCATTTTCCATCGGGAGACTGGACGATAGCGTGGTGCGATGGTTTGCGTACTTCCATGCCCCATTGAGTTATGCTGGGTGGCACTTCCCAAGTGTCCTCAGAACCACTTGTACCAGACTGATCAATGGCTAGGGGTCATGCTAACTCAGTCTCACAATTTTCTTTAGAGGTTAGAAAGAGGTCGATTACTCTCTTTCTTTAAAACCCAGCCATGGGAGACAACAAGTCCACGAATTATAAGCTCACAGCTCGATTGGCGTAGAGCGCAAGCGCCACGCATTGTCTCTGACGGTGGGAGGACACTTCCTGGGGCTCAGGGGTTTACTACTACCCGCCTCAAGCCAGGCAACCCTTGGTCAAATTGGTGCAAACCCGCAAACTCCCGCCTACGGCTGGCCGTGGTTACAGGTGATAAACATACTACGGTCCTATAACGCGTGTGCACTGTTTTAAATTTTCATAGGCTGCGTGTGATCGGCCTCAAGCAGGTCCCGATGGGTCTCTGCAATCACACTCCAGTGCTGGACTTGCTCACTACTGCCTTGTGAGTCAGGTTATTTAGCCAGAGACTCCGGGTGGAGTCCTCCAAGCGAACCTCCATGTACTACACTACATTTTGGGTGAAACTGTTGCGTCAAAGGCTAGAGGTAGGGCACCTCGAACAATACCGTTCTCCCGGAATGAGTAGTCGGAGAGTATCACCTGCCCTTTCGACCACGTCGACAATACTCCTCTCCTCTTCTTCTTCTCCATTCTCTTTTCCTTGTCTATTGAGCAAGAGACTGGTGCTGACCTCGCATCTGCTGTCATCGATACATGGAGCTCTTCCATCAAGACTAGAGATTCATCTCACATTGGTTCTTTTATGTTTCGCACTCTGGGTGAGATCGGCCAACATGTAGCATTTACCTTCACTCTTCACTCTCGGTATCGCTGTGTGCTGTTTCTCCGAAATGCGCTTGAAGAATGACAGTCTTGTAACAAGTCTGCGACTACCTGGCTCTGAATCCGACGATGGCTACACTCTTCGCGTCCCTAGTAATACTGAGTCAATGGATCAAGGTCATTACGGTGTTGGTATCCTCCTCAGCAGACATGTTAAAGGCAGTCTGCTCGAATAAATCTCTATCTTACACGGTTTGAGACACTGAAGTGGTTCCTTCAGACTGGCGACTGTCAGTTGTCGTGCCCATTTTCAAGAAGGGTCAGTGTACTTTGTGGTAAAATCCTCGAGGCATTAGCATTGTTTCCCTTACTTCCAAACTTCTCAGGCATCATTTGCTGACGACTTACTGGTCCCCGTGAGAAACGAATCACTGAAACCCAGGCTGGTTTCCGCCATTGTCGTGGTTGTATTGACCACATACCTACTTCACGCCAAGTGTTGTAGCAGGGACACACATACAGTTAACCGACTATGGTGGTTTTCCTTGGCTTGAAGCCGCCTTCGACTCTGTTGACCGCCGGCTTGTGGCACTGTCTATCCAGCCAGCTAGCTAAATCCCTATCCTTTCTACAGTCTCTACCGTGACTCCTGAGGTCATGTAGAGGTCCACGGTAAACTGTCTCCTGAGTTCCCCACGACATGCGGAGTTCTCCAGGGTTGTCCTGTGTTTTCTTTCCTTTCTAACTTTGTGGTCGAAATGATCATGGTCTACTCAGTTCTCTCAGACAATACCGGAGTAGAGGTTCTGGCAGTCGACCGACTGACAAACTTGGAGTACACAGACGACAGAGTTCTCTTTGGGTCTAACACAGTGGCTATGCAAACACTAATGGATGGACTAGTGTGTAGCGCTGCACGCTTCGGCATGTGCTTTGCACCTTCAAAGTGCAATGTACTTTTTCAAGACTGAACCGATACGCCACTTTTCTAGCTCTCACTGAACAGCCACTGGAAGTTCTGCATCTGTTTGTTTCTTTTGGTAGCTTTGTCACTACTGTTGGTTACATCAAAGTTGAATTTACTTCGCGTTTCAGCAAGGTCTGTGTGGTTCTGCAGGCGCTCAATCATCTGCGGCGCTGGTCGCGATGGAATTGGCGCGACACATCATCGATATTGCGCCGCTTAGTGAGACTGGGCTCGCTGAGCAAGGTAAGTTGCATGAAGCAGCTGCTGACTACATGTTCTATTGGGTGGTCAAAACCACCACCGCACCACGTGAACAGGGGGGTCGGATTTGCAACATCCGATCGCCTCCATGGCCAGCTGGTGGGTGTGCCGACTGGCATCAGCGCGCGACTGATCACTGTTCGCCTACGACTCTGAGGAGGTAAGTTTGCCACTATTATAAGCATGTGTTATCCTGATGACACGCGTGCTCAATTCTACATTCAGCTATCCTCCGTGATACGGTCTGTGCCGAGGAGCGACCGACTATTTCTGCTGGGTGATTTCAGCGCACGAGTTGGGCGTGATGCATCAGCGTGGACAGATGTTATGGGTCTGCATGGCATTGGCTCAGCGAATACTAACGGTGACAGGCTGCTCTCACTGTGTGCCACTCACGGCTGGACGATCACGAACACTCGGTTTGTACTGAGTGCGAGTGATATAGCAACTTGGACGCAGCCACGGAGTGGTCACGCTCACCTGCTCGACTGTGTCATCGTACGTCAGCGTGATATGCGTGAATTGCGCATGACACTTGTACTGCGTGGAGCTGAGTGTGGCACTGATCACAAATTGGTGCGCACCAAACTGTACATATATTTTTGCAAATCTATGTATTTCATTCCCATCGTGAATCGGCGTAACTTTAACATTCCCTCGGTACTGTGGCGGAACGTACTGAGCTGGAGAAGGCCATGGCTGCACGCCTGCGTGATGTGGACTGCATAGTCACAGTGGACGACGTGTGGCACCACATTCGTGACCAGGTGACAGCTGATGCGGAGGAGACCATCGGGCGCGCAAACTGTAAGCGGCCTGATTGGTTTGATGAGAACAATGCGACGATTGGCGCATTGGTGTCGCGGAAGAATGCAATATTTGCCGCACATGTCGGAGACCCCAGTGACCTGGGGAAGAAGAGTCAGTTTCGCGAACTTCGATGGCGACTGACATGAGAGCCCCGTCGCATTAAAAATGCATGGTGGACGGAGAAGGTGAAGCAGATGGAATGCTACTCCGAACGCTGCCAACACAAGGAATTCTTT